GCATTTCTTTTTTTAATTTCTGGATGTCTTTTCAAGAATAAATTAAACAATTTAATACCTGGTCAATTATTAATAAAAGGATTTTGTTTTAAAGATTCTTTTAAAACACTTTGTACTGAATCTTTTAATTGTTCAAGGTGAACTGGAAAGCCAACTTTAGTATTTGATAATATCCAATTTATAATTTGACTTTCTTTGTCAACCGATAATACAGATGTTGGTCCCATTTTACGCTCTAAAGGAACTTAATTATTTACTTTGGTACTAAGAGTAGCTTTAGGTAATCTTGTTTCTCTATGTACCTGATTAAGTGATTTTATTAAACTGTATTAACCAAATCATTATGAGTATATTGAAATCTTTTGTATTTCTTCTCTTATTTTAATTTTTCAGATGATTTTATTTCACTCATGTTTAAACTATAGAATTAAAATTTGGATAATGAAAACAATTAAAAAAAGTTAATACACCTAGATGATTCAGTGTTTTTTTTTTTCAAAATGTATTTATTCACTCGACTTAAGTTTTATGTGTAAGTATACCCAGTAAAACAGTTTTTCATTTACTGAATACAAAAAAAAAAAAAAAAAAATTAAAACCAGTTAATGAACACTGTTCATGCATTTAGTGGAATTTTGTTGATTGTAAACACCAGTGGTTAAACAGCAATTAAATAGTAATAAAAATAAGAAAAATGCTAAAATCTAATTAATTATAAGTATTAAAAGAATAACTCTATCGTAACTTACCTTGTTTGAACCTCATCGATAAAATTAAAAACATTATACGTTCTTAACAAAACGAAAAAAAAATCACAAATTAGTTAATTAGATAAAAACCATGATGATAATTAATGGAGAGAAAAGCTATCATTCTTACAAATTTAATAATGCTCCTATGATAATACAATTTACAGTGTTACTTTATTATAAGTTCAACATAGTATTAAGCTAAATACATCGCTGCATTAATCGATGTGTGCCTTATTATTTAAAGAAAACGGCGAAGTATTCATTTAATGGACCTGTTCATTCACTGGCCTTGTTATTTAATTATTCTTTACTCATAGAATAAAATTATTAAAAAAATCTTACAATAGTTTGGTGATTACATTTGTCTAATTGTTCACTGTTTAACAAAAAAAGACTTAGTTTTAGTGTCATCTAATTTTCCAATATTGATATTGGCAATATATCTACCATCTAAATCGATTGTTTCATCAATCGATACCTATATGGAACTATCATCGATTGAGTTTTTTAATAGATTTAAGAGTTTCATATATTGGTTGAGTATATTTTTTTCTTAATGTGATTTCATCAGGAATTAATTGTGTAGTATATTTTTTCCAAAAATGATTTTAAATAAGAATTTTAAATTTTGCTAGAGAAATATCAGCTTGACATAAATTGCCGTTGAATATAAATTTTTATCTTTATTTTTAGTAGTTTTTCATGTTATATTACTCGTACCTGAAACTGTTGTTCAATTATTATGGATTTTTCTCAAACAGAACAGTATAACATTTTACCGTCACTTAATAAATGTCCATCTGGAAATTCAGAAGCGTATTTTGCAGCTTTTCTAGTGTCAGATAATTGCACTTTAGGCATGCTATTACATGAGATTACTAAAAAGTCGATAAATCATTGATTTTATAATAAATTGTATACGTAAAACGAATACAAATTACAAACACGCACAACACACTACAGTATTACTGCGACAAGCAGATGAATACAGCAGACAATACAGCTGACATGTAATTGGTACTGATTTGTGTCCACAAGTCATAGAAGTTGGTAAAGTGGTTATAAAAAAAGATTGTCCCGTTACTTTCAATACTGTTTTTGAGTAGATTATTAATGGCACCATTCCTGAGCCCTCTCCTGGAGTACTTCGCTGTAATTTTACTTCTCTATCCATTTCTTTAGAGAACACCTTGTAACGTTTTTGGCAGATTGAGCAGCTAAAACCAAAGCCTGTGCCTGTGTTTTAATCCATAAAAAAATACAACGACGCAAATGATAAAGCTAGTGAGTACCTTTCGGTTCTCATAGCGTGTGAAAAGAATTCTTTTTAAAATACAATACGGCAGTCAACTTGTTAATATAACATATCAAGATGTACTCCACGTGTAAATCATATGTATGGTAAACATTGTATGTATTTATTATAACTATTTCCAATATTTAAACTTTCGCATACTTGAATTAGGTGTATTCCCAATTAGTTCGAGTAATCGAGGTTCTACTGTAAATCAATGATTAAAATAAGCAAATATGTCTAAAAAAAATATATATATACAATAATTTTAATAAATGAATGATGTTTTAGGGCCAACGTCATCTTTTTCATAAATATTGATTAGAAGCAATATCAATAAAAAAACTTATATATACCTTATGCATTACATAATATATTTTAATAACTTATATTACTAAGATATAGAACCACTAACTAAACGAGCACCTTTATAAAGTGCAAGTACCAAATTTATAAAAATATAGCTGAGTATAATCTTTATTAATTGCTTACACCACACCACACAATTAATTACAGCAATGGATTATTAAGTATTAATCAAAATAAAGAAAAGAAAATTCAATTTTTACGTTGTAAAATATAGGTGACTAAAAAATAAATAAATATTACTAATATATACAGTAGGTATATAATATATCGAGTACATATGGTCGCACATACAGCTATCGACATAACTCATCAAAACAAATATAATTTTATTGCTGACTCGTAAAATTTAAATTTTAAAATAAAATATTTATAGGGTTACGCAATGTGGTAAAAAAAAAAAATAATAACTAACTTGCGTCAATTGTTTGGAATAATACTTTGTAATGGCGGCACAAATACTGAAAAACACGACAAAAATATTTCGGCAAAAACGGTACATAGTAATTGTTATAATAATGCCACACAATACCTTTGACAGCGGCATACATGCGATATTCCTTGTTATAATAATATGGTAAACGTCAACGTGACGATTAGGTAAACGTATGTAAATGCTATGCAAACATTCGAATCGCATATTATTACATTATATATACTCGCGCACAAAATATACTCATGAAATATAATAGTGGTTAGTGCGTATAAATTAGAGTGCAAATTATTGTGTTCTATGCTGAAAGGGTTGACTATATATACATGCTGGGCAATAAAAAAAATCAAAGTCTTTGGTCGTTGGAAAACGTATGCATATTTGAATAAAAAACATGTTTATGGTTTAAAATAATATTATTTAAAAGTATAATAACAATAAAATAAATTGTGATAAGTACCTGTTAAAAGAGTGGGGACATTGATATTCAATATTCATATTTCACATGATTTATATTTTCCATTTACTGCTTGCACTCATAATTCTATAAAATTCATTTTTAGTATTTTTGAAATTAATGTTTTTATATAGTTTGAATTATTTACACTACTATATTTTAATATATTACCTATATTTTTGAGTTCATAATCAGATTCAGAATAGGTAATTTTCTAACACTTGTTGATACATAAATATCGAATGTCTAATAGTTTTATTATTAAAAAGTATTTATAGTTTATTTTAGCAAAATAGGAGCCAAAACTTTTTTTGGGAACCTAATTATTTCAATACAGGCTACTTCTAATTACGAAATTAAAAAAATGAGTAGGTAGTTAATAAAAAAATTTTAAAAAAAAACCATTAAGTAAGTTAAGAAATATATTTTTTGAACAATAATACGTATTTTACTGGTACTTAACTGCAAAAAAAAAGCATAATCCTCAAGGAGTAATCAAGCAAAAATTAAATAAGAACAAATATTTCGATGGTTTACTCAAGAAGGTACTTATATTTTGAAGTGGAAAAACAGGGGAAAAGTACTTGCTATATCAACAGAATATGACGGAACTTTGGTGAAAGAAATAAATAATAGAGGAACCCAAAAAACAAAATCAAAAGCTATACTTCAATATAATAAGTTTATGGAAAGTATAGATCTTTTAAATCAAATATTATCGTATTACTCATGTGAACATAATACTATGAGATGATATAAACAACTAGGTATTTATATTTTCAAAATTAATTTAGTAAACAGCTATAATTTATTTAAAATGTATAGTGAATTAAAACCTTTTTGTATGAATTTCATTTATCGCTGTTCTAAAACATTAATTAAAGAAAGAAGGATTAGAAGCTACTTTAGTACCGCGTTGTATTTCTACTCCTCAAAAAAAAGAAAATCACTATCTGAAAGTGGTCTAAGAAATACAAATGAAAAGAAAAAAGTTCGTCGATGCCAAGAATGTATGAAAACAAAAAAAAAAAGTTTGAAAACTGACATCTACTGTCTAACATGCCCAGGTAAGCTAGGACTCTGTGTGTATCCATATTTTAAAAAATACCACCAATCAATAATATTATAGTTTTAAGTAAAATACATATTTGGTTATTAGTATCCATCGCAATAAGTTATCCTCTGAGCTTCGATTACCAAATTTTTAGTAATTTTACTTAAAAGGAAATATGACCTGGATGAGTTGGCTTTTAAAATGGGACATGAAGTTGTACGGCCGCCACCTGAATATTGCCAATATAATCCAATTTAAGTAATATGGGCACAAGTTGTGGGTCAGGTGGCAATTAAAAACATAACTTTTAAGATAACTGATGCCTAAAAATTGTTGTTTATTGATCTTTAAAATGTATCTTTTTAATTTTTTGTCATAGGAAACTGATTTGTTTAAATTTAAATAATTTACAAAATAGGTCGTACCATGGAGAAATCCCCTTTCAACCCTTCTGGTAATCCTATGTATTTATTGGAATAGAAACTCTTTCTATATACAAAATATAATATTACCATTATGCAAATCAAATTGTGAAAATCACTGTTCGCATCTTGCCCTAAATATAATATGATCCATTTGATTAACAAAAATAAAAATGTAGGTAATTTGTTTTATTAAAATTCGTAATAGTTTTCATAAGCTTTTTATGGCCATCTGTGTGTCATAATCGAATTATCGTTCGTTGTCGGAGTTATTTCCCTCATTAACTTTAATGTCATGTTTTGTTGATGAATCAGATCGGTTTTGGTAATTATTAGTTTCTCCAATTTTCTAAGACGATCCCTGTGAATAACACACTTATATTTTATACCTAACATTAAATTCATATTACATTTCTATAAAAAGTATACTACAGTACACAAAAATATGTAGATACTGTTTATTGAGTTATAATATTACAATATGCTGAATTTGTTATCATAAAACTGTACCTCATTTCTAGCATTTCTTTATTATGCGACTCTTTAGTTGCCTCCAGCGTTTTCTCCGTATCTGCTATGATCGCAGTCAGTTGTCTTATTTCTTTTTGATATTTTTCTATTTCTTCCGATCTTTGTGATTGTAATTCTAAAATTGGCTTATTCAACCGTGTTTCCAAACTCAGTTTTTCTTGTGTCAAATTTTCGATCAAGTAATCTTGGTGCTGGATGTACTGTTCTTTGCGATTAAGTGCTTTATAATTTTCAGCAATTTGATTTTCCAGATGTACTTGATATGTTTTCCATTCTAATTGCCTACAAAACAAAAAAAATTCAACTTAGTTTTTATAAGAGGTTTGATTTTATTATATTTACTCATCTTCCATTTCCTTAATTTTTTCTGCATATTCATCATCATCGGTTTTTTCTAATAAGATTTGAATTTTTTTTATTTGCATTATCTAATTCAACCTCTGACTTTTCTAAACTAATAATAAGAAGTAAAATAATAAGATTCTCTTTATATCATCATCATATTGATATTATGTTCAAATCATTGTTTGTATACAAATTAATATATGTACCTACCGTTTAAGAAGATCGTTTCTTTCATTCGTAACAGTTTCTAATTCTTTAGTATTTGAATCCAATAATTGTTTATAGCATAATTCTTCTCGTGTTTTCTGTTCCAACTCAAGATTCTGATACTTATCCAAAGTAGATGTAACTGACTTCATTAACTCAATATTAGTATTTTTCTCATTTGACAACTCTACCGTGACTGTATTTAATTTGTTATTTAACTGTTCAATGTGGTTGTTCATTTTTTCCATTTCAGCCTTTAATGGCTCAAGGTCATTAGTATTTGATGAAATAACATTTCGTTTGCATCTATTATTTACATCTGACATCAACACGTTATTGTAATTGTTAATCTTAGTCTGTAATGCATTAAATGTTGATAATTAATATAAGATGACATTATACTGACCATAAAATGTTAACTTTATTTTACATGATGATTAACAATCTGTTTATTTGTTTCCGTTTTAAAGCTACTAACTTTCATTTTCATATGTTGTGTGTTTTTTTTTTGGCAATATTTTAGATTTTTCATCATCTTCAATTACCTTTTGTACCTTTTCTAAATACATCGGTGCATCACCCTTATCCTAAAACATAAACTACAAAGGTAGTTTATCGTAATATTATATTTTTGTGATAATTACCTCAGCGGTGGTAATTTTCTGGTCATTGCTAGTTACCTTCATTTTTGACATCAGTTTATCCCATCGCAATATAGCTGAAATTTGATGTTTTATAAGTTAATATTTAAAGCATAAATATAGTTTACCAACAATAACCTTCATCTATATTTGATGTGCATTTATTTGGAATGTTTTCATTTTTTACTAAGTTTGTATTAATTTTTGATTTGACTTTTTGCATTGTTAAATAATTTTTTTCGATTATTTGCTTTCTGTTTCGGGAATTGTTCAACTACTAATACCTGTTACATGCGTTCATTAATGTTAATACTATCAAGAAAATCAAATTTATTACTTTTTTCATACTTCGGTTGTTGAAATAATAAAAATTAACTTTATTTTATTTTGTCAACAATGACAAAATAACTATGTAATTAATATTTATTACATTTTAAGTGTTTGAAGTTACTTAGCAATGTAAAAGATAAAAATGTAGTAATGCATCATTAATATATTACGCATTATTTTTAGAGGGCCATCTCTCAAAGCAGCCTTTTTCGGGTTAACATTTTATACACATTATTATAAACAGTCATCTAGTTTGTTTAAGTACATTTTTTATGGTTATAGCATTATCATAGTAGGTATAATGTAAATACTATACATTTCTATAAGTAACAATGATAGTTTAGGTTTAGGACTAAAGCATGGACGTATATGAACGACTAGGTTCTATAGGACTTTTCACATTTCATAGTAAAACTAAATTAATTATTGTAGATACAATACGTTTAATGATTATCATTATTTACCTTGGAATAAAGGATATGAAATGTATTACATATAAATTTTAGTATTAACAAACAAAAAATACTACATATAGGTATTATCAATAACCCATAAGCCAAAAGGTGAAGCCCTGCTAATTAGACATTGCATAAAAAAATACTATGTATTAAAAAATAGCCTTACTGTGTATCTTGATTTGAAAAATTTAATATTTTTTACCTTGGAACATAAAAATCCTAGTTTCAATACTGTATCGTCTATATCTCACAAACGGATTAACGATAAATTTTAATGTACAAATTTAAAAAAAGCCTCAATAATTTATGACAATTTTAATATAGTTTGCTATTTGAAAATCAAAATTTAATAATATAAATTTGATTATTAAGTATAAATGTGAAAAAAATAAAAGTTTTATACAATTGTAGAAAATTATTTAGGTAGGTATCTAAAATGTTTAAAAAGGCAATACGATTCAAAATAATGAGTGCTTAATTATAAAATAATCACTATATGATATGTTAATTAATATGTTGATATTTCGGTTAAAAATGAAATCATTTGAATAGTTTGAAAATGAATCTTCAATAAATCATCGTAAATAAAAAAAAAAACAAAATTATTTATCAGACATTTTAAACTTAGTTTGACACAGTCGAGCGCACTTGTAAGCAAGTAGTGGTAATAGTAATAATAGTAGTATATTGTATTAGGTAATAGTAGTAGTAATAGGCATAGCTACCTAGTAAATATAGTATAGTTATTATAATATTGGTGATAGGTATTATGGTATAGTTTTCCTTGGTGCGACTACTTCGACCCGCGCGACCACCGACAAGTATACATATTACATATATGTATGTATGAATATATATGTATGTATGTATATACAGGGTGTTTCTTTTAAGTTCTTAAGATTCACAAGATATTTTCCAATTTTAACTCTGGCATTCAGCTACATAATATATAATATGCATTTCAATCTATAAATTTAATATGTATTCATTATAAAAAATAAAGTTGGTTTTGAAAAATGTACTGTAAATTTTTTTATTAAATATGTAATATTTGTGTGATATTTTCATGTATCTATAACAATGTTCAAATTTAAAATGTAATTACTTATTTCTATTTTGATTTTATTATAACTATTTATACTCTTAATATGTTTTTTTTTTTTAGAGTATGTATTAGAAATAAACAATTTAGCAGTTACTAGTCATCACTCGCATAATTCCTGTAACATCTTTTTTTACTCAAAAATTATCGTACAAGTAAAATGTCAGATGTTATAAAAATTATGAATTTATAGTATCTTGTACCTACTTTGAAAATAATTTAAATATTTTACATAGTCGTTGGCTTAAACAAGTTACAACAAACGGTTGTTGATGTATAGAAAATAATATAAGAGTATAGTAAAAAATGTCTATTAAAAAATCAAAATTTAAATATATTGATCTTGTAAATCAAATAAACGACTCAAAGCCACATACTACCTTAAATCTATCTTATGTATCTAAGCTTTGCCAGACAAACTATATAGTTATGTAAATAATAGATATTGATTTAGCATCAAAAATATTTACACAAATATTATTTCAAGAAAAAAAAAATCCTAAAATTTTAATTTCAATTTTTTTTTTTTACTCTGTAACGCAATTGCCATGAATAACGATAGTCCTAGACAAATTACGACAAAGTAATTGTAACGATCGTTTTTCGAAAACATCGGTTAAAAAATACGACGGAAATTTACAGACGGATTGATCTATATCCTCTATAGATATTAAGAAGTGTACCTATAGAAGAGAGTCGACAGTTTTTCATAAAAATTATTATACGTTTGAATATGTCTGATTTGTGGTATTTGTGAAACACCCTGTACAGTTTACAAATTATATATATATATATATTTAAACGATGGGTATATAACATGTACGTTGTATCGTTGTAAGTATATTATGCTTATACAATATATACGTACAAGTATATATTTTAAAATATATATATATATATATATATATATATATATATATATATTTGGTATATATAAACAGCGCACACACAACGCTGCCACGGCAGTCGTTTCGAGACTTGATCAATAAAACGCGTTTCGGGGAAGGCCGCCCTTTTCCGCGAGTTTATTTTCGCGTGCCGATCGAACATTCGTAAATGTGTATACTATACAATATAATTACAAAAGTACTTGTACAATATTATATATATTTGTTAATAATAATACCATAGTATACATACAGACTGCATAGATACAGTTTAGAGACAAAAAAACCACGCAAATCATAACAGTATTCAGTAGTCAGCAGTCCTAACTCCCGACGGGCAGCAGTTAAACACGGATGTTTTCCAGAACACTAAAAAATACAAAAATTATAAACTTTTTTAAAGTTATATTGTTTTAAAGTTTATTGTTTTACAATAAATTTTAAAAATCCTAATCTTTAGAAAATTAAAAATAAATATAATTTAATATGCTTAATATAATTTAAAATTACAAAAATTACAGTTAAAAAATTAAGTGTTATTTTAGGTTAAAAAAAAATTATTGATAAATTGAGCTGTATTATAACCTATTAAGTATAGGCTGACAATAGAAATAGCTATAATTTTAAAACTTAATCTGAGCTTTGAAATCAGATTACACCATTGTTTTCAACATAAAAAAAAAAACAGTAAAAAATAGATTCATCATATAAATAGACAATGTCTTAAAATAAATCAAAAATGTCACTGCGTAAAAATAATTCATGAAATAATATGATATACGTAAAAGTTTTTAGTTCCCGTGAATAATGTTTTTAAAATACAAAAATATTATTATTTTCGTTATTTATCCTTTAAATAAGAAATTTCGTAAAAATTTGAACTTCAATGTGTATAAAAAATAATTAACTGTAAATATTTTTTTAAATATTATGGTTTTAATATTATAAGCTATTTATTAGAAATCTTGTATTATATTTTAAAAACTTAGATACGAAACAAAAAGTTTTTATAAATTTTAACTATACAATAGTTGGTATTTTTTTGCAATTTTAATCAAATTCTAACTTCGAATGCATAAAAATAAAATGGTATATTTTTAATGTTTTTATACAGATATGCATAAACACAACTTTTATGAAACCTTGTATTAAATTTTCAAGCATTTTGACCTAGTGAATACTTTTTTATTGATATTTATAGAAAAAAACTAATATATCGCATGCCTTTAAATAGTTTAACAATTTTAAACATTTTCATCAATTAATCAAAATAATAAAATAAATATTTTGTGATTTTCAAGTATCTATAGTTATTTCATATTTGTAATAGAACTACAAGTTAAAAAATATAAAAATCATAGGGAAAGAAATGCTTGTTATACGGTTGAATTTTTGTCGTCTTTAAAAATTTTGAATTAAACGATCATATAAAATTAATTTAAATTTCTGGTAGAAATTATTTTAGTATAGATTGTAAACGTTAATATTTTTATGAATTTCTAACTACAAAATAATTTACTTATCTTCAGAATTTTTATAAATGATTAGTTACTTATCATGTACATACTACATAAGTATACACAAAAAATATATATATCATTATTAAAGCAATAAATTCACGGCTCATCACAAAAACTAAATTATTTCAAAATTTTCCGTGACATACTAGTCTAGTAATGTATTTCCTCCCCCCCCCTCTTCGCATGAAACTGAATTCTATTTCTTATACCAAACGTGTAAAATGTGGAAAAAGCGAAAAAAAATAAAAAAGGTTATTGACTGCCCCCCTGATTAAAATCCTAGCTACGCCCATGTACAAAGGTATTAAAATCAATATGGATATTTGTTTTAAAAATTAAAAATATCGTTATTACGTGTGTACCTATTTATTTATTTTAGATTCTGATACAGTTGATAAATATATTTATTTTTAAAATCAAATGATGTGTGTTTTTATGTCTGTGTATACTTTATACACAAAAAAATGTTTCGATATTAAACTTTGAGAGTAGTTTTTAACATTAATATAATCTTATAGATCTTATTGGTATCTTCAAAATAAAATAAAATTACATTTTTTTCTTTTACAAATATCGATTACAAATTATTTGGTGGATCAAAATTCCAGAAAATTTAGTATGTAGTTTCTCATAAATTAATAATTTTTTAGCTAAAGAATATTGAAAATCTATAACCACTATACTGTTTTATATAAGGGTTTAAAATTTTGACAAAATTCACAGAAATTATAAAGATTAGTAAAATAATTTTGAAGTTAGATGTTCACAAAATGTTTTTGTTTATGAATAAGATTTAAAAGTTAATACAAAGTTTTAACCTACATAATATTATTAAAAAAAAAAAATTATACCGGAAATATTTGATATTTAGGTAGGTACTTGTAAATTAATTATTTCTCCTTAAACAATTTTTAATATTTTGTTGTTCCAAAAAAAAAAAAAAAATAACAATAGATACTTGAAATTTTTAACATTATTTTTATCAAA